ACAAAAGTGCAATTGCCGATGCAACAGAAGCTGTAGTTGTCAGCGGAGGAGGCGTATGCACTTCAGCGGAATACGAAATGTTCAGCTGTAATTGATGGAGCGATGGTAGTTGTAGCAAGTAGCTACTAGCATCCATTACATTTCACTCCGTCCAATGTATCGCGATTAGATGTGGGAATACACCGAAGGAGCAACAAAGGTAAACGGAAAGAGAAGAAGGAGAAATAGGGAAAAAGAACGAGGCCGGAAGAGAGTCGGAAATACAATTCCATGCATCCTGGTGATATACAGTCTCATTTCCGACTGATGAGGAAACTTTGTTAAAATTAAGATACAAGATAAGAAACCGGCAAATCTTTTTGTGCGCTCCATCCTCGTGAAAAGGACGAATGTTTCCCTCACGTTATCCAACGAAAGCTGCGAACTCTCGGCGAATCGGAATGGGCGAAAAGGATCCGTGCAATTCAACCTGCAGACTTTCGGGATTAATGTAACGTTAAATATGCGAACGAACCATCTGCATTTAATCTCCACCCTCATCCCCCATCGTCTCCGACGCTAACTGAATAAACTCTCGGAAAAAAGTCGACCGAACTTGTACAATAATAAAGCTGCGAAACTCGAAAATAAAGGAAGAAAGAAACACGTAAATCGCAACAGATTTTCGCGCTAAAGTTTAAATTAAAAACTTCATTAAGCAGAAACGTTGATTAGTCGCGATGGTCGATAATTAATTTTTATAACGCATTAGCGGCTGCCACGAACGCTTTTGTCGCAGCCCTCTCTTTTTTTTAATCTACAAGCGCAAAGTTTTTAATGAACAAGGATATTTAAGATGGAAAAGGACAAGAGGAAGGAAACAAAACAAACAAGAAAAAGGTGGAATGAGAATTTAAAAAAAGAAAATAAAAGGAGAGTTAATCTTTAAAGTCACCATTGTGTCTCGATTATCTGCGAGCTTCTTTTGTCGATGGATGCATTAATGAACTTTTTCACAGTCAACGACCGAACGAGAATGAAAGACATCCTGCATCCATTCGCAATTTTAATTTAATTTTGCTTTCCTGACTAACTTCACTTAAAAACCAGTAAATCATCCTATTAATACCTTTATTTCCAACTTCAACAACGAAAAAATATAATCATAATGAAGGTATGTAAATATTCTATGGTTTTTATAGTGAAATATTGCAAGAAATAGTGAAAAAGAAGGCTAATATTATACTAAAGTTACAAATAACAATAAAAATCCTGAAGGTATTTAGAAGTTTGTAGATGACTGGTTTAGATTAGAAATTCGTTTTCTTACATAATACACGGAATCAAAGTTGAAACCTTACAGTTTTCGCGGTTCGTGCAACCTGTTCTTCCTCTCGCTGAAACGTATCGCGGCGTTCAGTTCAGGGCTTTAGACATTGCCGCTGAAACTTTTGAGACGTTCCGCGGAGACGTGCAATATGCGTAAGAAATCCGACCGTAATCATAAGCGAATAAAGTATGCTCTCAGCGAATACTTGATGCGATGTATTAAGGGAGCGAGATGTAATTTATATTGTGATTTTGCGGGTGGTTGAAGAGGAGAGGAGAGGAAGACGAAGACTGATTAAGGACGAGCGAATGAAATTATTTACGAGCTTCGGCTAAATGCATACATCCTTTCAGACCTTTTCATTGTGCTGCTCGAAGGGAAGGAAGCATTATTATTATTTCGGGATTTTTCCTTATTCGCTTTTCTTTCTCATTTTCAAAAGAAATTTATAAATAATAAAACGCGCGTGGGCGATGGGAAACTGTTTGTGTATGAGAGAGAGAGAGGAAGAGGTACCTTTTCTTCTCGTCCCAACATGTGTAACATAAAATTTCGAGTCAGGCTGCGTCAATATATTTTGTATGTCCTTAAATTACTCCACCTCCGCACCCCTTGCCTTCCTCTCTATGTATTATATATATAAAACAATATACATATGTACTCATATATATATAGGGTTCCTTTTTTTTGTTACGACCGTCGTTCTATAAGTATTCAACCGTGCGAAGAATACCGGTGGGTAGGGGTTTCTTGCGGAGGGTGCGGTGATGGGTTGGTTTTTGCTCGGGGGCGGCGTGCGAGTTAAAATGAACTGCCACGAAGATGTCTCACGTACCACCGAAGGGGTGGCGTACACAAAGGGAAGGTCGTCGTCTTATGTTATGCTATCTACCATCGGAATTGTCACTTCTGGGACTGTGCCAATGATGTAGCTACTACACGCATCATCAAGCTTCCGCCAAGAATGTACATAGATAGATATACTGGATGAAACAACTAACTGTGCCAACTATTTTCGTAGCACTTAAAGATCCAAGAAACATTGATTACAATACGTCAATAAACAGAAATATAAAATTTCTGAAAATTATAGAAATGTGCATATTCAAGGCCATCACTTCATTCGAAATAATCTGATACTAAAGCTGTAACTAAATAAGAAACTAGGTCTGAATCAATGTGAGCTTACGCTTAAAATGAGCGTCAAAAAATATTATTTATGAAAGTTATATAAATCTGCTTTTCAAGATCAGCTTATTTGAGAAAAGTGAATTGATTAAACTTGATTTAAATGAACCATTATCTATATTGGACCAAAGGAAGACTAATTAATTACTTAATAATAGGAACAGGATAATTCTTAAGTTAAAATATTTTTGTAAAAATACTGAAAAATTCTGAAAACTGATATTAATAAAATATAGCTAAAAGTTTAACATTTATTATATTATATATTTATTATACAAATACGTCATGAAGTTGACATGTAACAAAATATGTCATGAGAAACGTCAGTTTGATAAAATGTCATTATTAATTTCAAATGGATAATAGAAAGACTGACAGTTTTCAAGGTCATGACTTTCATTAAAACTAACTTGAAACTAAAGCTCAAACTAAATATGAATCTAAGTTTGAATTAAGTTTAAACTTAAACTGAAACTAACCTGTTATCAATGAAAAATGAAAACTGTAATTAATTATTAAATTAATTTAGAAAATATCTTATAACTGAAGCATAAACTAAATATAAAAGTAGGTCTGAATGAATCTGAAAACTGAGCTTATGTTAAATATCACTGACAGATAATATTATTTATAAAATAAAACTGGATTTTTAAGAACATCACTTTTTTTAAACTTTGTTTGAGAAAATTTAATAGTAAAAAGTTGAATTAAATGAACCTTGTCTAAATTAGACTAGAGGAAGCCTAATTAATTACTTGATACTAGGAACAGTCTAATTTGCAAGATTCATATAATTAAATTCAACAAAAATATTTGGTAAAAATGTTTAACATTTATTATATTATATATTTATTATACAAATACGTCATGAAGTTGACATGTAACAAAATATGTAGGTTATGTCATGAGAAACGTCAGTTTGATAAAATGTCATTCGAACTGTCATTATTGATTTCAAAGGGCTAATAGAAAGACTGACAGTATTCAAGGTCATGACTTTCATTAAAACTAACTTGAAACCAAAGCTCAAACTAAATATGAAACTAAGTTTGAATTAATCTGAAACTTAAACGTAAACTAACATGTTATCAATGAAAAATGAAAACTGAAATTAATTATGAAATTAATTTCGAAAATATCTGAAAACTGAAGCATAAACTAAATATAAAAGTAGGTCTGAATCAATCTGAAAACTGAAGCTTATGTTAAATATCACTGACAGATAATATTATTTATAAAATAAAACTGGATTTTTAAGATCATCACTTTTTTAAAATTCGTTTGAGAAAATTTAATAGTAAAAAATTGACTTAAATGAACTTAGGCAATGAAATTAGACTAGAGAAGTCTAATTAATTACTTGATACTATGAACAGTCTAATTCGCAAGATTCATATAATTAAATTAAACAAAACTATTTGGTAAAAATACTGAAAAATTTTAAAAACTGATATTAATATAATGTAGCTAAACGTTTAACATTTATTATATTATATATTTATTATATAAATACGTCATAAAGTTGACAAGTAACAAAATATATAGGTTATGTAATGAGAAATGTCATTAGAACTGTCATTATTGATTTCAAAATGCTAATAGACAGAAATATGCGTTTTCAAGTATGAAACTAAGTTTGAATCAATCTGAAACTTAAACGTAAACTAAGATTGCCTAGATTGGACCTCTTAGAAAGTTATGTAATATAACTTAAAATAATATTTTACACGAAATTGCTATGAGTTTGTCTTAATCATATTCTAGTAGGCATTGTATCATATGAACAGCTGTCAATTCTTGAAAGACAACGTACGTCAAAGTTAACATGTAACAAAATATGTGATATATAATTATGTCATGAGAATCAACTATGTCATTGGAACTGTCATTAGTATTATTTCAAGTAATAATTATAATGAAATTGTGTAATATATAAGAAAAGCGGAAATAAGTAATAAACACAGACAAAAAATATAAAGTGCGCACAGAAAATCCAATCATTTTTGATAAATAAATCTGTAGGATGGGAATTATGAAATACCGGGGACCATTCAAACTTAATGATATGAAATGGGCGACGTGGGGGTGGTGTGTGGGGTCGTTTCGAACAAAGGAAGAAAATGGATGGTCGCTCTGCATCCCCGGCGGGGACGAGCGCGAGTAAATGAAAAGTTCCCTTTTTGACGCTCGCAAAGTAAAACAGCACTGAATAAAAAGCAATATTACGGTGCGCCGGGGGCCGTAATTTCCTGACCCCCCTTTTTCCCACCCCCCGCTCATGCCACTGCTCCCGCTCATTCTTTGTACCCACCGGACAAATTGCCTCGCTCATACAATGACCCAACCTACTGTCCACCCCCGCAAACACGACGGATAAATAAATCATTCCGAAACCTCCACTTATACCCGAAGACAATCCGCAACTAAATAGGCTTTACATCCTTCGATCAATTCACCGAGGATTACAAATCTGATTGTCCTTTCTTCTTGGTTTCGTTTTCAGGTGTCCTGGGTTCGACATCGTGACATTCATCTTCTGACTGTTGGACGGTACACCTACACTTCGGATCAGAGGTTCGAGGCTTTGCATTCACCTCACACGGAAGAGTGGACTCTGAGGATAAGGTATCCGCAACGCAAGGACACAGGAATCTACGAATGTCAGATTAGTACTACTCCACCTATCGGGACTTTCGTACATCTCACCGTCGTCGGTAAGTCTTAATCTATAACTAAACTCAAAATTACTTGAAAACTCAATCAATCTGAAACAGAATCTTAATATGAGTCTTAATCAACTGAGTCTTAAACTACAATTAAAACTGAAACTGAAGTTTATACTAAATATGATACTAGACCTGAATAAAACTTAAACTGAAGCTTAAGCAAGATATGAATCAATCAAAAACCGAAACTAAGTATGAAAGCAAACCTGAAACTATCTAAAAATGAAACTTAAACTAAATATGAAACTAAATCTGAATCAATATGAAACTAAACCAAATCTGAAGTTTAAATTTAAACTACATATGATACTAAACCTGAACTTATTTGAAAATGAAACTAAATCTAGATCAATATGAAACTGAAGCTTAAACTAAATATGAAACTAATTGTAAATCAATCTTAAACTCTAAATAAATATTAATCTAAATGTGAAGCTTAGAATAAATATGAAACTAAAATCTGAAACTAAAGCTGTATCAATCTGTAAGTGAAGGTGGAACGAACATTTTCGCATCCCGAATTAATATTCAATTATCCTCCACGTGTATGAATCCATTAGAATATTTGCTTTGCAAATTCGAGGCGAATCAAAATATCGCTCTGTTTACCATCGGAATCAAAGCCTTATCGCATCTGCATACCATTACAATTCCACTATTTTCCGAAATAATATTATGCCCTCTCTCTCTCCTCCAGTCTGGATATACACATTCAAATCAGCAATTCACGTTTTCCTTTTGTCATATTTCTATTTCCATATACGTTTGTCCATTTGACCCAAATTTTCAACAATTTTTATAGACTAATTACAATTTTATTGTAAAAACGTATATACTTTCTAATATTTAACTAATTTAAAAGTTAACAATTGATAAGTTTTCATAATATTCAAATAATTTAAGAATTAATATAAAAAAAAATAGAAAATACTTGATTCTTAATAACATTTCCTATGAAAATAATAAATAGTACGTTTGTCCATTTGTCCCAAATTTTCAACAATTTTCATAGACTAATACAATTTTATTGTAAAAACGTATATTCTTTCTAATAAATAGTACGTTTGTCCATTTGACCCAAATTTTCAACAATTTTCATAGACTAATACAAT